AAGTAGCATATGCTAAGGCGCACAGGTCTAAGTTATAGGTCTAAGTTCCCCATGATGCACTGGGTGTTTCTTCTTCACTCAACATGTGTTAGTAGACCTCTCTGCATTCAGCCCGTCTGCCCCTCATCTATCGATGGATGTTAGAGGCTTTGGTTCCCACTGTCGCTCACAGACGGTCACCTAATGTTTCCTGTGTAACTGCAGGGTCTTTGCCTTATAACATAGAAGCAGCTTGAGGTAACTGTTGTTGTGATGCTGTGTGTGTGTAATAAAGCTCCCTTACTGACAGTGGGTCACCACAGCTTGTAGCTCCATGTATTTGATGTGGTACGTTTGCCCTCGCTGACACAACTTTAAAGGGATTTGTGTGTATGAATAAAGTTTATTGTTCATGCAGTTCATTGCCGTATGTCTGTGAAAGGGTGAATGAGGGTTGTAGCTCCCTCAGCAGCTGTGGAGCGATGGAGATGTGGTTGGTTAGACACGCTGCCCTAGTTTACACTACAAACCACACTCACCTGTTTACACTCCTTTTGTGTTACAACCACCTTGTTACACTCAAACACCAGATGATGCATCTGAGCCAACTAAGGATTCACTGAGACTGAAGAAGCTCGAGATCATAAGAATTTGAGGCTCAGCTGATACAGTATGATAGGAGAATCCAACCATTGTATGTCAAGAGACTATAGACAGTGAAAGCTCCATCTGGAGGAGGAACGACGTGGTTCAGAGCGTTGCCTCCTGCAGCTGGTGACATGTTCAGATTTCAGCTCTGTCGGTTAGAAAGTCTGTTTTTGTTTTTCATCTGTGTGTTGCTCTTTCATCCTTTTCTTCTTCCTGTTTCTTGCATCAAGCTGGCTGACTTCACCACTGATGAGGTAACCATGAGCAGTAAGCCTCGTGTCGCTCACAGTTACATTTAACATAGTGCGATAAACACACTCAGTCATTATAAGGTACATCCTCTAAATCAGGGGTGCTCAATACGTTGATCGCGATCGACCAGTCGATCGCAAAGGTAGTATTGGTAGATCGCATGGCATTAAAAAAATAGATGCCAGCCTATCATCCATCCCGTCACTTGATTGATACAGGGAAGCCAGTCAGATGACATCAGATTTTTTCTGACGCTTAGGTCGCTGCGCATGCGCAAACAGCGGCGCGAAGTGTAGTAAAACTGACAAGCTAGTCAGCGAGTTAACTCCAATTTTTAGCTCTCGGTTTTTTCTCTTAAACCTGGCCGTCAGCAGCTACTGTCCGGACTATGCATCCCTGGCTGATTCAATTCAGTGCAAGTCATCAGAGTAAACTCAGGTAATGACAAAAAATTTACATAGTTAATTGTGTTGTGAAATATTGGATATTGCGGTTATGCATGTATATACATTGTAGATATAAAGAATCCTCAATATATTTATAAATAAGTATATGTTTTGGATTTTTGTAGTGGGTAGATCATTTTGACTTGGTCATTTTATAAGTAGCTCACATGCGGAAAAAGTGTGAGCACCCCTGCTCTAAAGGTTCACATAACAGACAAACAGGATAATAAAAATAATCTGGTTCTTTGCAGTGTCCTCAGATGAACGACACACGACATTATTACACGTCTCAGTATTTGTTACACTGAACACAAATATAAACACAACACTTTTGTTTCCATGAGCTGAACCGGATCCTGACTGGTTTTGCGACATGTGTGTCATTGTGCTACACATGTACGGCATATTTCAGAGTGGCCTTTTATTGTGGGCAGTCTCAGACACACCTGTGCAATATTCATGCTGTCTAATCAGCACCTTGACATGCCACACCTGTGAGGTGGGATGGATTATCTCAGCTAACGAGAAGTTCTCACTAACACACATTTAGACAGATTTGTGAACAGTGTTTGCGAGCAATGTTCCCTGTAATGTTTCACGTGTCTGAGCGAACACACAAACTCCCTGAGCGTCCCTTGGACCACTGTGAGCGACAGCAGACGTGTGCACTGTGGTCACGCCAGCACCCAAGTTACATGTTTATTAAAATAATCAAATTACAGCATTTATGTTAGACTACTCTTAATTAACTGCTTTAGCCCACTTACAATGAAAATTAAAACAATCTTCTTCATGACCTGTGCAGCATGTTAACACTAATGGAAGTAAAAATAACTTGAACTTCAATTTTGAAAACACAACTTTCTTTCTTTTTTTTTTGTAAAGCTCTGACTTGGATTATGAGTCTGTGGTCTGGGAGAGAGTCTGTAACTCTGTCTGCAAGTACAGTAAATAATGACCAATGCTGGGCAGTTAATTATATAGTTACTTCTTCAAAAAAGTAACTGAGTTTTGCAAACAAAGTTTTTTGCAGCTGTTTATCTAAAAATGCAGCCAAGGTGTTTTTAAACAAACATTTCAAACTATTTACAGAACGATCAGCTGTTCTGCATCAAATCTGATGCCACACAAATTATTTGTGTCGCTCCAAAAAATAATTTCTGTCCACTATGAGATGAAGGCGAACAACAGCCTGATACCTGCAGGCCTGACAGCAGCAGATGTATCACTGCTGTAACACCTGTAAACCATTGTTCTGACACACACAACAAAACTATTGACTACACACTGACTACACACTGACTACACACTGACTACACACTGACTACACACTGACACTGACTACACACTGACTACACACTAACACTGACTACACACTAACTACACACTGACTACAAACTAACTACAAACTAACTACACACTGACTACACACCGACTACACACCGACTACACACCGACTACACACTGACTACACACTGACACTGACTACACACTGACTACACACTAACACTGACTACACACTGACTACACACTGACTACACACTAACTACACACTGACTACACACTGACTACACACTGACTACACACTAACTACACAAGATTTGTGCTAAACTTGGCAATCGCATCTCAAACACGCCGTCACTCCTAAAACTTCCCCCTCCCTAAACCACTAAATGTCATGTTGCCATATCATTTTTTGATTGGTCCAAATGGTGCATTTTTCCACCAATAGGAAAGGCTGGTGGGGGTTTGTTTTGGTGTTGTTTTTGCTCACAGGCTTTCGAGCGTTTTCCTTATAAAACGGCGTTTTTACCGTTTCTTCCCGCAGTAAATATAAACAACGACAGTATTCAGGAAGAAAACAAAACATTGCAGATATTTTATCATAACTCTGGTTTTACGCGGCCGATCAACACAATTTAAAAACTGGTATAAAGTCCACACTTTGTCCGTCAGTTGTTCCGTCTGTCCTGCTCACATCTCCAATGGTTGTACACGTTGTCATTAACGTGGCTTCACGCCACATCAGCCGCTTTGCTAAAACACCGGTGTCGCACATAAGGACGCTGTCATAGCCTGTCAACCACGTTGATTAGCTGCGTATATACGAATGTGAATCGCGTGATTGGCTGGACTACGGGATAAGGTGGCCTCGTTCTGATCCCATACAGGAGCAGCCAGTCACTGACTAACACTGCAGAACAATTGTTAAAGTTTTCATTTTAATTTCAATTCAGGTGATTTTTTTTTCTTTTTTTTTGTGCGCAACGCAGATTTTCTGTGCAGAGACCGTGCCAGCAGTGCACAATTGTGCACGCACGCAGCTTAGAGGAACATTGCTTGAGAGTGTCGGGTCTTTTGTGTTTGTAGAAAATGTTTCATATCTTTGAGTTCAGCTCATGGAAAACAGGAGCAAAAACAAAAGTGTTGCGTTTATATTTTTGTTCAGTGTAAACGATAAAACATCAGGTTTGACCCAGAATGCACTGAAGCACCGCAGCAATTTCCTAATGTTGTAAACCTGCTCAACATTTGGCAATAAACCCTTTCTGATTCTGATTCTGACATGCTAACACATCAACACCACTGAGCTGATCGCAAGCAGGCCGATGATCATCCCACTCTGATAGATGATTGACTGTCAGATCAATAACCTGCTCACTGTTACACAGACCTCACACACACACACCACACACACACACTTGCTGACTGCAACAGTATCTGACGAGGTTCCTTCCCATGAGAACCGACTGGAGTGTAGATGGGCCCGAGGCGAGGGCGATCGGCATAGACTGACACACAAAGAGAGAAAGGTTTGGGAACGAGAGGAACAATAAAAGGGAAAAAAGTAGGGAAACTGGGGTGAAAAAGAGCCTCGTTGAGACGAGGAAGAACGGGAATGTCAAGAGGGAGGAAAGAATGAAGGGAGGAACTCAGGAGACGCTAATGAAAGGGGGAGAGAGGAGGAAACATTGTTTGAATGCTTCAGATGAGTTGGAGGTAAGAAAGGAGAATAAAAGCACGAGAGAAGCTGGGAAACAAAAGCATAAGAAATGTAGATGATGAGAAAGGGAAGAGGAGGAAAGCAGAAAGATGAATAGAGGAAGTAAGAAAAAGCATTAACAAGAAGAGGAGGAAGAAAAGGAAAGATGAGATGAATGGGAGAGGATAAGAACGAAAGGCAGAAACGGTAAGATGGAAAAATGAAGAAAGAAAGGAGAAGGCAGTTTAGAGAGTCGAGGAAAACTTAAGGATGAGGGGAAAAATAAGAGTTGAGGATTATAGGAAGACTATGGAAGAGGACAGAGGAGAGAAGAAGAGGAAAGGAAAATGTGTGAAGGAAAAAAGGATGATAGGGGGATGGAAAACTGAGGACTGGAAAAAGAGGAGGAGAGAAAGAAAAGAGCGGGAATGAGAAAAACCCGGCTCGTAAAATGAAGGGAGGAGTGCTGGGAAAGAGGAGGAAAAGTGGTCTGAGCAGCCTGGAAGCACAGGGAAAAATGGATATTAAAAAAACACGACTAAAGGATCAACAGAAAGACACTAAAATTGACCAAAGTAGTGAAGAAACCCTCTGTGTGCTGTGTGATTTGGATTTTTTTCTGTATGTTTATGACTGCTTTTTTTAACCGTGCTTTCTCATTTGCTGTGCTCAGGTGGTGGGCGGAGCTGAAAAATGGCGGGTGCATCAGTGAAGGTGGCGGTGCGAGTCCGCCCATTCAACTCCAGAGAGATCGGACGCAACGCCAAGTGTGTGATCCAGATGCAGGGAAACACCACCTGTGAGAACAACACACATGTTCTGTCCTTTAGGCTTTATGGGGCCCCTTACTGAGACACTAACCTGAAGATGTCCTCACAGGATCTGAAACATTCAGATGTCCTGACAAAGATAAAGAAAGGAGAACAAATAAATGAGAAACCATGGAAACAGATTACAAAGGTTTTTAGATAATGAGATAATGACAGAGTTTTATGATCACCATCTCATTATGATGTAAGGAGGATTTTTATTGTGACCTTGAATCATAAACTGTGGGTATAACATGGATATAGCCTCTATGCATATTAAAGCCTCAGGTGTAGCATTGTGGCAGCGGCCATGTTGGTGTTTTGGAGGTTAATCCTCTGTCACGAGCATTAATAAAGTTAAAACTGACCTTCAGCTTAAACGCTGTGAACCTGCTCGTCGCAGAGTTAGCCATGAAAGCAGCTGTGGCATCACTTTAATGTGGCTGAAGAATATAACAGTCCCTGGACTGTAACAGCATTTAGCTTTAGGCTAACAGTCACTATTGATTTTAATTAATAAAGAATGCTAACACTCTCCTGTCCCTGTGCGGGTTAGGGGTTTTTATGGCTTCAGCGATCCCAACGTCCTCCTGGGCTGTCATGTGACGACTGATCCTACTGCTGCATAAACTGACAGGCACACACAGCCTGGTTATTAATAGACTTCACTGCAGCAGGGCTGTTATTGGCAGCTGTGTGTCCATCTGACTAATATTTATATGCAGAGCCCGTCATATATGCTGTGAATGCTGGGAGTGGTCACATGCAGATGTCCCCACTTCAACAGTCACATTTTGTTGCCTCCATATTTGAAAGTGAGGAGAAAAGAAATAAAACTGGAGTGTGTCCACACACTTCTGGTCATGCACTGAAGGTTGTTTCTTTATGATTCTTTCCAGGCATCTCCAATCCCAAACAGCCCAAAGATGGAGCCAAGAACTTCACCTTTGACTACTCCTACTGGTCACACACAACGGTGAAAACACTCTCTCTCTCTCTCTCTCTCACTCTCACACACACACACACAGAAAACATCAATATTATAACCCAGAATCAGTGATAACAGTGCCATGTGTTTGTGTCCCTGCAGCCCGATGACCCCGGCTTCACCTCTCAGACACAGGTGTATAAGGACATCGGAGAGGAGATGCTGCTGCACGCCTTCGAAGGTGCGTCTGAACGTCCTCTCAGATGTCAAAGAATAGCCCGACCTCTGTCTGCTAAAATACAATTTAAAATTTTTTTAACTCTAATTAAATTTGGCACTATCGGTCCTCCATAGTCCAACTCCGACTATGTAGCTAATGAGACTAATGGTGACCGGTAACAATGCTGATACTTGTTACTATAGTGATACTGATGTGTAAAATGAGACTGTTGATGGTGATGATGATGCTGATCATGACAGCACAATTATATTCTACATAGGCAGGCTGATAGTCTTAATGTCTAATACAGGAATAAGCTAAAGAGGACTTTATTTATAATTTTAGAATAACTTGTAATATTGTTGTTGTTGTTGTTGTTTTCCAGGATACAATGTGTGTATTTTTGCGTATGGACAGACGGGTGCAGGAAAGAGCTACACTATGATGGGCAAACAGGAGCCTGGACAGGAAGGGATCATACCACAGGTAAACGCAGTCATGTCACGTCATTACTGCTGTTGCATTAATGTTTACTGATTCAAAGGCATAACTGATGAAGAATTATATAAATGTCTGTCTGTCTGTGTGTTCAGCTATGTGAGGACTTGTTTCAGAGAACAGGAGAAAACACAGATCCTGACCTGACCTACTCCGTAGAGGTGAGCCCTCATCTAACCTGATCAGTTTTATTTAAACTGATTTACCCGATTAAACATCATCTTCTCCATCACAGGTGTCCTACATGGAGATCTACTGTGAGCGGGTTCGGGACCTGTTGAACCCAAAATCCCAGGGCACGGGTCCGGGAGCATCCCATCCTGGGGCCCTACGTGGAGGATCTGTCCAAACTGGCTGTGACTGGATTCACGGACATCCGGGACCTGATGGACGCCGGCAACAAAGCTCGGTCAGTTTTCTTCCGGATAATTTCAGAGGTTGAAGTTTAAAACAAAGTGTAAAAGGCTGCAGCTGTCTGAGGAAGTTTGGAAGGCAAATGATCTAAATTTTTGAAAAACATAAATCTTATTCTACTGGTAACCAATCCATCATATAATACAGCAGAATTATGTAGATCGGCACAGTAGATGGACTTGTCTATCTTTTGAGCCATGATCAGATTGATACCCAATCAGTTCATTAATCGCCCATTAGCCAATGTTACTTATTCTACACTTGTGCTATAAATGTGTAACATCTGTATTATTGTAAAGAATGAATTGCAGTAACATTAAACTAATCAAGTTTATTTCTGATTGCAGGACGGTCGCAGCTACAAACATGAATGAGACGTCGTCCAGGTCCCACGCTGTCTTCACCATCGTCTTCACCCAAAAACGACGAGATCAGATGACCAGCCTGGACAAAAGCAGAAACCAGAAAGTGTGTCTGCTTCTCTGTTTTGTCCCAAAGGACTTTTTTTTTTTCCCCAAATGTCAGGTTTTTATTTTGATTCTCGCACTTTTCTCTTCAGGTCAGTAAGATCAGTCTGGTCGACCTGGCTGGAAGTGAACAATCAGACTCCTCTGGGGCAAAGGGCACACGGCTCAAGGTCAGAGATAATGTGGCGCAATCAGATTATGTATCTACTCATGTGCTGCTCATTGTCATGCATCCACTGCCACATTCATCATGTATTCATTGTATGTTTGCATGCAGGAAGGAGCAAACATCAACAAATCTCTGACCACATTAGGAAAAGTGATTTCAGCTTTGGCTGAAATGGTAATTCTACACTCTTGATATTTACAAGTCAAATACAGTCATGTGCAATGTGGGAGATGGTTCTGGTACATGGGAAAACTGACTGCTTCTTGTCTCTGATCTGCAGCAGAGCAGTAAAAAGAGGAAAAGTGATTTTATTCCCTACAGAGACTCTGTTCTCACCTGGCTACTGAAGGAGAACCTGGGTAAGTAGAGCATTGGTAGGTTAAAGGAGTATTCACAATGTCAGATTGAGCATAAATAAACAGTACAAGGAGTCATTTAAGGCTAACAGCTATTAGTAATAACGTCAATACTAGGACTAACAGCATGTTTCTTTGATCAAACAATTAACAAGACTTGTTGTGTCTGCACTTACAATACACTTTAACCTATCAGGACTAAAACTACACTTTAACCTGTCAGGACCAATAGTACACCTTAACCTGTCAGGACTAATAGTACACTTTAACCTGTCAGAACTAAAACTACACTTTAACCTGTCAGGACTAAAACTACACCTTAACCTATCAGGACCAATAGTACACCTTAACCTGTCAGGACCAATAGTACACTTTAACCTGTCAGGACTAATAGTACACCTTAACCTGTCAGAACTAAAACTACACCTTAACCTGTCAGGACTAAAACTACACCTTAACCTGTCAGGACCAATAGTACACTTTAACCTGTCAGGACTAAAACTACACTTTAACCTGTCAGGACTAAAACTACACTTTAACCTGTCAGGACTAAAACTACACCTTAACCTGTCAGGACCAATAGTACACCTTAACCTGTCAGAACTAAAACTACACTTTAACCTGTCAGGACTAAAACTACACTTTAACCTGTCAGGACCAATAGTACACTTTAACCTGTCAGAACTAAAACTACACTTTAACCTTTCAGGACTAAAACTACACCTTAACCTGTCAGGACTAATAGTACACCTTAACCTGTCAGGACCAAAACTACACTTTAACCTGTCAGGAATAATAGTACACCTTAACCTGTCAGGACCAATAGTACACTTTAACCTGTCAGGACTAAAACTACACCTTAACCTGTCAGGACTAAAACTACACTTTAACCTGTCAGGAATAATAGTACACTTTAACCTATCAGGACCAATAGTACACTTTAACCTGTCAGAACTAAAACTACACTTTAACCTGTCAGGACTAAAACTACACCTTAACCTGTCAGGACCAATAGTACACTTTAACCTGTCAGAACCAAAACTACACCTTAACCTGTCAGGACTAAAACTACACCTTAACCTGTCAGGACTAATAGTACACCTTAACCTGTCAGGAACAAAACTACACCTTAACCTATCAGGACTAATAGTACACTTTAACCTGTCAGGACCAATAGTACACTTTAACCTATCAGGACCAATAGTACACCTTAACCTATCAGGACCAATAGTACACTTTAACCTGTCAGGACTAATAGTACACCTTAACCTATCAGGACTAATAGTACACTTTAACCTGTCAGAACTAAAACTACACCTTAACCTGTCAGGACCAATAGTACACTTTAACCTGTCAGAACTAAAACTACACTTTAACCTGTCAGGACTAAAACTACACCTTAACCTATCAGGACTAATAGTACACTTTAACCTGTCAGGACCAATAGTACACTTTAACCTGTCAGAACTAAAACTACACCTTAACCTGTCAGGACTAAAACTACACCTTAACCTGTCAGGACTAATAGTACACTTTAACCTGTCAGGAATAATAGTACACTTTAACCTGTCAGGACTAAAACTACACTTTAACCTGTCAGGACTAATAGTACACTTTAACCTGTCAGGAATAATAGTACACTTTAACCTGTCAGAACTAAAACTACACCTTAACCTATCAGGACCAATAGTACACCTTAACCTATCAGGACTAATAGTACACTTTAACCTGTCAGGACCAATAGTACACTTTAACCTGTCAGGACTAATAGTACACCTTAACCTGTCAGGACCAATAGTACACTTTAACCTGTCAGGACCAATAGTACACTTTAACCTGTCAGGACTAAAACTACACCTTAACCTGTCAGGACTAATAGTACACTTTAACCTGTCAGGACTAAAACTACACCTTAACCTATCAGGACTAATAGTACACCTTAACCTGTCAGGACCAATAGTACACCTTAACCTGTCAGGACTAATAGTACACCTTAACCTATCAGGACCAATAGTACACTTTAACCTATCAGGACCAATAGTACACCTTAACCTGTCAGGACTAAAACTACACCTTAACCTGTCAGGACTAATAGTACACCTTAACCTGTCAGGACTAATAGTACACCTTAACCTGTCAGGACTAAAACTACACTTTAACCTGTCAGGACCAATAGTACACCTTAACCTGTCAGGAATAAAACTACACTTTAACCTGTCAGAACTAAAACTACACCTTAACCTGTCAGGACCAATAGTACACCTTAACCTATCAGGAATAATAGTACACTTTAACCTGTCAGGACCAAAACTACACTTTAACCTGTCAGGACTAATAGTACACTTTAACCTGTCAGGACTAAAACTACACCTTAACCTATCAGGACCAATAGTACACTTTAACCTGTCAGGAATAATAGTACACCTTAACCTATCAGGACTAATAGTACACTTTAACCTATCAGGACCAATAGTACACCTTAACCTGTCAGGAATAATAGTACACTTTAACCTGTCAGAACTAAAACTACACCTTAACCTGTCAGGACCAATAGTACACCTTAACCTGTCAGGACTAAAACTACACTTTAACCTATCAGGACCAAAACTACACCTTAACCTGTCAGGACTAATAGTACACTTTAACCTGTCAGGACCAATAGTACACTTTAACCTGTCAGGACTAATAGTACACTTTAACCTGTCAGGACTAAAACTACACCTTAACCTGTCAGGACTAAAACTACACTTTAACCTGTCAGGACTAAAACTACATTTTAACCTGTCAGGACTAATAGTACACTTTAACCTATCAGGAATAATAGTACACTTTAACCTGTCAGGACTAAAACTACACTTTAACCTGTCAGGACCAATAGTACACTTTAACCTATCAGGAATAATAGTACACTTTAACCTGTCAGGAATAATAGTACACTTTAACCTATCAGGAATAATAGTACACTTTAACCTGTCAGGAATAATAGTACACTTTAACCTGTCAGGACTAAAACTACACTTTAACCTGTCAGGACCAATAGTACACTTAACCTATCAGGAATAATAGTACACTTTAACCTGTCAGGAATAATAGTACACCTTAACCTATCAGGACTAATAGTACACTTTAACCTGTCAGGACCAATAGTACACTTTAACCTGTCAGGAATAATAGTACACTTTAACCTGTCAGGACTAAAACTACACTTTAACCTGTCAGGACCAATAGTACACTTAACCTGTCAGGACAAAACTACACCTTAACCTATCAGGACTAATAGTACACTTTAACCTGTCAGGACCAATAGTACACCTTAACCTGTCAGGAATAATAGTACACTTTAACCTGTCAGAACTAAAACTACACCTTAACCTGTCAGGACTAAACTACACTTTAACCTGTCAGGAATAATAGTACACCTTAACCTATCAGGACTAATAGTACACTTTAACCTGTCAGGACCAATAGTACACTTTAACCTGTCAGAACTAAAACTACACCTTAACCTATCAGGACCAATAGTACACCTTAACCTGTCAGGACTAAAACTACACTTTAACCTGTCAGGACTAAAACTACACTTTAACCTGTCAGGACCAATAGTACACTTTAACCTATCAGGAATAATAGTACACTTTAACCTGTCAGGACCAATAGTACACTTTAACCTGTCAGGACTAATAGTACACTTTAACCTGTCAGGACTAAAACTACACTTTAACCTGTCAGGACCAATAGTACACTTTAACCTATCAGGAATAATAGTACACTTTAACCTGTCAGGAATAATAGTACACTTTAACCTGTCAGAACTAAAACTACACTTTAACCTGTCAGGACTAAAACTACACTTTAACCTGTCAGGACTAATAGTACACTTTAACCTGTCAGGAATAATAGTACACTTAACCTGTCAGGACTAAAACTACACTTTAACCTGTCAGGACAATAGTACACTTTAACCTATCAGGAATAATAGTACACTTTAACCTTCAGATAATACACTTAACCTGTCAGGACCAATAGTACACTTTAACCTATCAGGAATAATAGTACACTTTAACCTGTCAGGACTAAAACTACACTATAGTAATTAACCTGTCAGGATAAAACACAACTGTCAGATAGTACACTTTAACCTATCAGGAATAATAGTACACTTTAACCTGTCAGGAATAATAGTACACTTTAACCTATCAGGAATAATAGTACACTTTAACCTGTCAGGAATAATAGTACACTTTAACCTGTCAGGAATAATAGTACACTTTAACCTATCAGGAATAATAGTACACTTTAACCTATCAGGAATAATAGTACACTTTAACCTGTCAGGACTAATAGTACACTTTAACCTGTCAGGACCAATAGTACACCTTAACCTGTCAGGAATAATAGTACACCTTAACCTGTCAGAACTAAAACTACACCTTAACCTATCAGGACCAATAGTACACCTTAACCTGTCAGGACTAAAACTACACTTTAACCTATCAGGACCAATAGTACACCTTAACCTGTCAGGACCAATAGTACACCTTAACCTGTCAGGACCAATAGTACACTTTAACCTGTCAGAACTAAAACTACACCTTAACCTGTCAGGACTAAAACTACACTTTAACCTGTCAGGACTAATAGTACACTTTAACCTGTCAGAACCAATAGTACACCTTAACCTGTCAGGACTAAAACTACACCTTAACCTATCAGGACCAATAGTACACCTTAACCTGTCAGGACTAATAGTACACTTTAACCTGTCAGGACTAAAACTACACCTTAACCTGTCAGGACCAATAGTACACTTTAACCTGTCAGGACTAATAGTACACCTTAACCTGTCAGGACCAATAGTACACTTTAACCTGTCAGGACTAATAGTACACCTTAACCTATCAGGACTAAAACTACACTTTAACCTGTCAGGACCAATAGTACACTTTAACCTATCAGGAATAATAGTACACTTTAACCTGTCAGGAATAATAGTACACTTTAACCTGTCAGGACTAAAACTACACTTTAACCTGTCAGGAATAATAGTACACTTTAACCTATCAGGAATAATAGTACACTTTAACCTGTCAGGACTAATAGTACACTTTAACCTATCAGGAATAATAGTACACTTTAACCTGTCAGGAATAATAGTACACTTTAACCTGTCAGGAATAATAGTACACCTTAACCTGTCAGGAATAATAGTACACTTTAACCTGTCAGGACTAAAACTACACCTTAACCTATCAGGACTAATAGTACACCTTAACCTGTCAGGAATAATAGTACACTTTAACCTGTCAGGACTAAAACTACACTTTAACCTATCAGGAATAATAGTACACTTTAACCTGTCAGGAATAATAGTACACTTTAACCTGTCAGGACTAATAGTACACTTTAACCTATCAGGAATAATAGTACACTTTAACCTGTCAGGAATAATAGTACACTTTAACCTGTCAGGACTAAAACTACACTTTAACCTGTCAGGACTAAAACTACACTTTAACCTGTCAGGACTAATAGTACACTTTAACCTATCAGGAATAATAGTACACTTTAACCTGTCAGGACTAAAACTACACTTTAACCTGTCAGGACCAATAGTACACTTTAACCTATCAGGAATAATAGTACACTTTAACCTGTCAGGAATAATAGTACACTTTAACCTGTCAGGAATAATAGTACACTTTAACCTGTCAGGACTAAAACTACACTTTAACCTGTCAGGACAATAGTACACTTTAACCTATCAGGAATAATAGTACACTTTACCTATCAGGATAATAGTACACTTTAACCTGTCAGGAATAATAGTACACTTTAACCTATCAGGAATAATAGTACACTTTAACCTGTCAGGACTAAAACTACACCTTAACCTGTCAGGACCAATAGTACACTTTAACCTGTCAGGACTAATAGTACACTTTAACCTGTCAGGACTAAAACTACACTTTAACCTATCAGGACCAATAGTACACTTTAACCTATCAGGAATAATAGTACACTTTAACCTGTCAGGAATAATAGTACACTTTAACCTGTCAGGACTAAAACTACACTTTAACCTGTCAGGACTAAAACTACACTTTAACCTGTCAGGAATAATAGTACACTTTAACCTATCAGGAATAATAGTACACTTTAACCTGTCAGGACTAATAGTACACTTTAACCTATCAGGAATAATAGTACACTTTAACCTGTCAGGACTAAAACTACACTTTAACCTATCAGGAATAATAGTACACTTTAACCTGTCAGGAATAATAGTACACTTTAACCTGTCAGGACTAAAACTACACTTTAACCTATCAGGAATAATAGTACACTTTAACCTGTCAGGAATAATAGTACACTTTAACCTGTCAGGACTAATAGTACACTTTAACCTATCAGGAATAATAGTACACTTTAACCTGTCAGGAATAATAGTACACTTTAACCTGTCAGGACTAAAACTACACTTTAACCTGTCAGGACTAAAACTACACTTTAACCTGTCAGGACTAATAGTACACTTTAACCTATCAGGAATAATAGTACACTTTAACCTGTCAGGACTAAAACTACACTTTAACCTATCAGGACCAATAGTACACCTTAACCTATCAGGACCAATAGTACACTTTAACCTGTCAGGAATAATAGTACACCTTAACCTATCAGGACTAATAGTACACTTTAACCTGTCAGGACCAATAGTACACCTTAACCTGTCAGGAATAATAGTACACTTTAACCTGTCAGGACTAAAACTACACTTTAACCTGTCAGGACCAATAGTACACTTTAACCTATCAGAATAATAGTACACTTTAACCTATCAGGAATAATAGTACACTTTAACCTGTCAGGAATAATAGTACACTTTAACCTGTCAGGACTAATAGTACACCTTAACCTGTCAGAACTAAAACTACACTTTAACCTATCAGGACCAATAGTACACCTTAACCTGTCAGGACCAATAGTACACTTTAACCTGTCAGGACCAATAGTACACTTTAACCTGTCAGGACTAAAACTACACCTTAACCTATCAGGACCAAAACTACACCTTAACCTATCAGGACCAATAGTACACCTTAACCTGTCAGGACCAATAGTACACCTTAACCTGTCAGGACCAATAGTACACTTTAACCTGTCAGGACCAATAGTACACCTTAACCTATCAGGACCAATAGTACACTTTAACCTATCAGGACCAATAGTACACTTTAACCCCACAGACATGTATAGAGTTGCAGAGTTAATATCAGGCAAAGTTTAAGTACCTTAAAGGTTTGATGTGTGCTTCTTTCAGGAGGAAACTCTCGCACAGCAATGATTGCTGCGCTAAGTCCTGCTGACATCAACTACGAAGAAACACTGAGCACTCTGAGGTCAGTTACTTGGTGTAATCTGTCTATGAGGCTTTTTATGGATCAGTTAATGTGTTTTCAGGCAGCGGGTATGTTGCAAAGCTGGCATAGTCAGATTAATATAATCTGTTCTTGCAGGTCTTACAATAAAGTTTAACGTCAAAACAAACATGAAAAAAACAATTAATGAGATGATGCTCTGACTGAAGTATTTCTAAATACTCTAAATACATCCACAACATGAGGTTAATCATTAACTTGCTGCTGTGTGGTTTTGATTTCTTGGTATGAAAAAGTCCCGTTCCTAAGTGTCACATGCACATTGATTCTTTTCTGAAGCATTTAAATATCTGGTGTCTGCGATGCTGTGAATCCATCATGATTATTTATAAGAAAAAGCTTAGAAATGTGCTGCGCATCAACACTGCTCATAAAAAGCTGGAGAAGCAGAGAAGCTCCTCTCAGACAGCAGAGTTTATTTCTATTGTGAACCTTATGCATTGCTAAACACGCAAACGCTGTGGATGTGATACTCAGACTGTGCTTCATATAAACATGGAATGCAGTCTGTTTACGGCCTAATAAACTGTACACATCACATGCTGTTGTTCTTTCATTTGGACCTGGTATGAACAGCACGTCTATGTGCAGTATGCTGTAGAGACGGTTATTTACAGACAACAGCAACTGTGTGTGTGTGAGAAGATATTTACAAGCTGTCGTTACATAACCAGGATTGCTGAGATTCCAGCATGTTAGAAATTAAATCTCCTCCTCTTCACTTCTTCTTCTCTGCTCTCTTTCTGTGTCTCTTAAAGTCAACAACAACAACAACAACATCAACGGCCCCGGTGGTGTCGCAGGTGCGTCCCCCTCCCCTCTCCAGCTGGCTCTCACATCCAATGGGATCACACCTGAGAATGGCTCCGCCCCTCCAGGTCACTCTATATGTTTATGTGGATTATTGGGAATCCAAAAAGACTGTGCCTTTGTCTTTACTAGTTTAAATTTAAAAAATACAGAAGTGGTTCATCATGTTTTCATAATTAAATGTTTTATTTCCTGTGCAGGCGCTGAGCCGGTATCTGAAGGTGACACGCCTGCTGACCGTGATCAGCTGATTGAGGATGGAGAGGAAAGGGTGGAGGGAGAGTCCACAGAGAACATCAGCAAAGAGGAAGCAGCTGAGAGACTGATGGTAGGGCGAGACGTTTTATAACCTCGCACTTTTCCGGGTCATAATTCCATCATATCTGTCAGAGAAATCTATTACTTCTTTGATAGTTTTCTGGAAATCGATTGAAAAGAATGAGGAAAAAACAGACTTAAAACTTCAGAACGTGTCTGGGAATCCTCATATTTTTAGTTTTTCTCAGTTTAAGAGAAATTCAGCAAAAGTTTTCTGTACATCTGTGATTACACTGCAAACAGGAGTTGCTGAGCACTATTTCACCTTCTTTGAATGAGAATGAAGAAGTTTTATTGGTATATGTTTACAATACATGTGTGTGTTTTTGCATGTAGGAAACAGAGAAAATCATCGCTGAGCTGAACGAGACGTGGGAGGAGAAACTGAGAAAAACAGAATCTATTCGTTTGGAGAGGTTAGTTTTATTTGAATCTGAGCTTTTTACATGTTTGCCTCTGTCCGTAGTTAATATAGTGAACATGTTTTGGTGTCACCTGTTACTTTCTTAAACGTAACGACGATATCATGAACATCAGCATTTATACCGCTGCTGAGGGCAGCTCTTTTTCTCCTGAGCCACTCAGACAAAACCTCAGGGCAGGTGTAGAAGTGGAAAAAGTCTCATCTTTTCAAGCTGCTGGATCGTCCTCTGTATTAGCTTGAAATCTTGGCGCTTCTGCACTGACACTGATAAAAAACAACAACTCATGTCTGTGACCCGGCAACAGCTACCATGCGAGGTTTTGTGTCAGCAGAGTGACACATCTTTTGGCATTTCCCACTGTTCATGAAGGCAAAAAAAGGTTTAACGACCCTTTATCCACTGTGGCAGACGAGGCTCATGGGAACTGTAGTGTTTACAGCACAGGTGGAAAAGCTGAGTGTGTTTGTTCACTAACTCACAGATGAAAACATTTGGAAACACGAACACAGAGGGAGAAAAAAAATGGATGATGATTGATGTCTCTGTCTCTCGCTTGCTCCCTCAGAGAGCCCCTGCTGGCAGAGATGGGCGTGTCCATAAAGGAAGATGGAGGAACGCTGGGCGTCTTCTCTCCTAAAGGAGTGAGTGTATATTTAACCCTTTCTCTCTATATATACTGTTGTCAGTCTGTTCTGTGTCTGCAGACATCTTTGCAGAAAATGTTATTATGTAAGCTCTGACAGTCTGTGGGACTGGTTTAGTAATACTTTAACTTTAGGATTGTGTGATCCCTGGCTGCTGACACACGATATGCAGGTATTTGTTAGGAGCTGTAACTCCTGCTGGTATTTTAAAACAGTGTATTTAATTTTTGGATTCACCTTTATGTCAGGTTAAAGCTACTCTTTGAGTTGGTGTGTTTTGTTAGAACAGCCGATAAATTGATTTTACAATCAATCATATAGCACATTTTTAAGACCGAAGTACACCAAAGTGCTTTCCAGGAAAATCACAATAAAATATAAATTACAAATATATAAAATATAAGATGATTACATAATCTAAATACAGAGCCAGATGTAATTTACTTCATGCCTGGGAGTGTTCGTCCAGTCAGAGCCGAGTGTCTGCTGCTCATAAGCACCTGTGTCGACACGCACTCAGCTTTAGAAGTGATGATGTCACTGTTTGATTTTAAGTCTCTCTGGTCTTTGCAGTAAAATCGCTGCAGTCTGCTGAGCAGATGTTTGAAATCCAGATTAAAACTCAGAGACGATAAATCGTGCAGCAGCTTTTCTCTCCGTACCACCACCTCACCGAACATCTTTAACTCTTTCCCTCATAAAGACGACATCTGACAACCTTTAATGACTTCAGGTGAACTTCGACTCAGTGTCAACATTCACTTTAGTAGTGTTGTCTTCATTCATGGTGTGTTGTTCACTTTGGTAAATGATGCTGTTTATAAAAGTGCTTATAAAAGGATCTGAGTGAATGCAGTCCTGGCTCCAGTCACATGTTTAGTACTAGTTAAAAGTTAACAGCATCCAATCGTGTTTAGTGTTTTCTATCTTCCACTCTCACTGTGTGGATCCGCCTCACTTTTAAAGGGGGAAAAAGATGACCCCATCATGTAAAACTAAAGTTAATGTAATGTCTGTGTGTGTTACAGACGCCTCACCTGGTCAACCTGAATGAAGACCCTCTGATGTCCGAGTGCCTCCTCTATTACATCAAGGAGGGAGTGACCAGGTCAGCAGTGATTTCATCATCGGTCATTTAGTTCATCAGTTATTTGATCATTTTGTTGGTCTTTGCTCAGAAAATCTGATAAATTGAGTCTAAAGTGTGAAACGTTTTAGCCATCCTGTGCAGAGACCAAACGTCAGAGACGCCTCGGCTCATCTCCATGTGAAAGCAACAAATTACACACAGACACAAGTCCATCACTAGTTTAGCTGCTTTACTTCATTAGTAGAAAAAGTAATGACACTGTTTACATGTAGTGCATGCAGAAATCTGCTCGTGCAGAGGTTACCACACCGATAATGATCCACAGAGTCATCGTGGAGAACAATGAGTTTCATTACGTATCTTATCAGACACGACACTCGCTGTTATCTAACAACTACTTTATGATCTTGGACATCAGAAGCTCCTCCGTTAGTTTTATTGCAGGAGAAGTTGCACCTTCATCTTTATTCCTGGTGGAGTTGTATAACTAGCTTGGCAGGTGTTTACATTAGTTTTTTCATCTGTCTGTGTGTGTGTGTGTGCGCCAGGGTCGGGCAGCAGGACGTGGACATTAAACTGTCGGGTCAGTTCATAAAGGAGATTCACTGCGTTTTTGTCAGTGAGACCAACGAGCAGGGAGAAGGTGAGATTTTTACTCCTTGCATAAACCTTTGCTCACATGTCTGACACTCTGATGCCTGATTGGCTGTCTCTGCTCTGCTGCACTGCTGTTTTGTGGTCACACAGCTTCATTGTGCGGAGTTTAAGCAGCCTCAGTCCTGTGGTTTGATCAGCTCCTGTAGTTCACTGTGCAATAACCTCATTATGAACCATGGGTCCTTCAGTACTTTATACACACCAGAGAAACATGTTCTACACGTTACCTGAAGCTGTTTAACATCTGAAGTTATAAAAGAATAAAAATACAAACTACATTTGTACAAATTACTTACTTATCATCGTTACCACCTGCTGCATCATAGTTGGCCTCTTCTACAATCTGCTGCCATAGATCTCCTGTTCCAGTGCTGGAAGTTTTTCTTTTTATTAAACGTGGTGTGAGTTTCTAATGATGTAGTGAGCATAGCTGTCAGTAATCCTTGTGAGCAGTCTGCCCTACACACAAAGCACAGCGCACACTTTTTGTTTCTATTATAGGATCTATATGATGTCATAAAGAGGTCATATCAATAGTATACCTGTGAGCACACCTGCGGTCTGTTTGGGAGAGTCTGCCGTCAAAGAAAGGAGCTACAGCAGCTTGTTTCAGACAGAGGGGCCAGTGTGACATAAATAAAAATGATTTTAAACTGGGAGTCATGCTGAGCTGCTGTGGCAGTGTGAGACTAACAGAAATAAAAACATGGATCTGGAAATGCATTTTTAATCAGATTTGATTTGCATCACTCCTCAAAGTAACGTTTCTGACATGTTTCAGCAGCAGCCGGGGTTAAAGTCAGACCTGCAGGCAGCTGAGTTGATCATTAACATGTGTAAGTCTGGAATGAGTCACAGTGGCAGACAAATGTGCTCTTGACTTCTGTCACATTACACCTCCTGATTCCACTGGCTTATAATCATCTTTAAATATTGAAAGCACACTCGAGCCTCTCTGAGAAGGTTTCTGAAGAGTTTGAGACCAGAAGGACAAAGAAGGTCCTGCAGTGCTTTTATGTACCACATGATGGCTCCGCATGATGTGTGGATTCGAAACTTTGCAGCCAGAACATGCTGATAAGAAAAGTTTGAGCACTTATATATGTATATATAGATTCAATTAGTTACTAACACTAAAAATATTGTTTTGATTGCTATTGCAATTTCATTTTAAATATACAAATGTGGTATTATATATACATATGTCATGAAACCTGTGCTAATTTGCATAAATGTACACTAGATTATGGGGCAAAAATTCCTGTTTTGTTTTTTTTGTTTTTTTCCATGAGCGTCTCACCTTAGAGGTCTGGTCTGTGTCCAGGCTGTAGTTCTTTGTTCTCGGACTGTGTGTAGAGTCTGAAGCTGCAGCTCTCTTCCTGTTTTCATTAAAAGTTATAAACAGGTAGGTGTGTGTGTGTGCGCGCGTGTGTGTGTGTGTGCGCCCGCGCTCAGTGAGTGACTCTTTCTTCTTCTCTTTCTGTGAAAGCTGCCAGGAAATCTGTCAGGTATTAGTCATTGCTACTCGTCATGGTGACATCATCCTCATGTTCACACCCATGTTTCCTGTGCCTTCCCCGCCTCCCTCCTCCTGTCCCAGACACCCCTTCCTCACCCTCTGTCTGTATATCTGTGTGTGTGTCTGCTGCTGTTACCCTGTGCGCTGTAGCACGATCCCTGGTTTCAGTGCATGTCTGTATGTGAGACCGAGAGGCCTCTGTAGTTGTGGACATACCCCTTTCAGATCCAGGTCTCTGTCTCTGGATTGTCGATCAACCTTTCTAGTAATGTTACAGGATACAAGCCCAGATATTAAGGTCCATGATAAAGCCTCCGTCACTGCTGCGAGTCCTCCCATCAGACTGTTTCATGCTCAGTGTCATTAGTTAGTTGGAGCAGAGACCTACGTTAACGGGAAGCAGATCACCGATGCTGTCGTATTAAAACAAGGTACAGAAACACACCCGGCAGCTTTTCTTACGAGTTCACTGTGGCTTTAAACAAACAGGAAGCACCTGCCATTACACTGCTCCTGCAGCTGTTACATCAGGTTTCACTTTAGTTTACAGCTTATTACACACGAACATGAAAAACAAAGCAGGTTTGATCGATGGAGTAAACACACCACCCAAAACCTGCAGGAGACCTCAGACTCCGTTTCCTGTCTGTTTCCGTCTCTAGGTAACCGCATTGTGATGGGGAAGAACCACGTGTTTCGGTTCAACCACCCGGAGCAGGCGAGGCTGGACAGGGAGCGCAGCGCCACGATGGAGCAGCAGGGGGAGCCGGAGGACTGGAACTACGCGCAGAAAGAGCTGCTGGAGAAACAAGGCATCGACATCAAGCTGGAGATGGAGAAGAGGTAGATGCACCTTTACTAGACCCTGAAGTGTGGTTTTCAGATAGCATCTGTAGACACACTGTAAACCACGTCAGATATCAGAGCTGTTTCCTGATTATTGATCATCTGATTGGTTGGTTGGTGCTGCAGACTGCAGGACGTGGAGACTCAGTACCGTAAAGAGAAGGAGGAGGCTGACCTGCTGCTGGAGCAGCACAGACTGGTGAGTTTCTCCTTCAGGTGAGCTCGTGTGGTGACTGCTTCAGGTGTTTTACCTTCTCTGTGTGTGCAGTAGCCTACGCAGACAGCGACAGCGGGGACGACTCGGACAAACGATCCTGTGAGGAGAGCTGGAGGCTCATCTCCTCCCTGAGAGAGAAGCTGCCAGCCAACAAGGTATCAGCTCCTCATAATCTCCTCGTTCATAGCTCCTCATGTAGCTGTGACATCCCATAGAGACCTGATAGGATCGTGAAGCAAGCTTTTCTGCTGACAGGGACAGTCATTGGAGCAGATTAATGTACCTGTGAGCTGACCTGTCTCACCTGTATGTCTGTGTCCAGGTGCAGTCCATAGTGAAACGCTGTGGTCTGCCCAGCAGCGGGAAGAGGAGGGAGCCTCTGCGAGTGTATCAGATCCCTCAGAGGAGGAGGATCAGCAAAGACCCCAAACGGGTGACCATGGAGGACCTCCGCATGCAGGCCGTCAAAGAGATCTGCTACGAGGTCTCACAAACACACACGTGATATCAGAGTGTTCTCTGACTGGTTTCAGAGGGACAGATAAACATTTTAGAAGTTATTCTCATAAATACTCTTATATCTCTACATTCAGGGGCAAAGGGTTAAAACTTTACCTTGAAAAATACACTGGACCTTTCAAAACCCAAACCCTCCTGGAGATGGCTCCAGGTGGACACTTGACACTGGTCTGTAGTGTTGGACCAATTTGGTCCATGACTAAGTCAGACAGACTCTGTTAGTTAGACTCCATAGCTCCAGTCAAACGCAACAAATAAGTGGTAAATTGTGAAAATCATACATGATGCATTTTCCAATAAAACCAGGATCACTAGATTGTTACAGACCTTGCTGTGTAACCATAAACTCTTTAAAAAAGGTAGTCATGGTAAAGCCACATTACCTTTTCCTTTCCAAATTTTGAAGCCTGGACTGTAGCATTTAAGAGTTAAAAACATGCATCCGTGGACTGTACGGGAGTGTCACACTGACACTGGTGCCTGCGATTAAGTGTAAAGAAATAAGTCCACTCACTAAAACTGGAGCACAGAGTTCTCGGAGGGTTGGTAGTAGAGCTAGTACCCATGGCACAGTGTTGATTGGTCTGTTCAGCCTGTGTGAGGTAAAATATGTGATCGTCTTAAGATATCGCACCAGAACATACAGAGGCAAATTATAAACCTGAGTGGGTTCAGATTTGCCCATTTTTGTGGGTTCTGTGCACTCAGGCCCTGCTCTACGGTGTAGATGCCACTGAAGTCCATTGCTAGGTTGTGGTCACGCAACCTTACAGTGGACAGGTGCATAGATGCTAAAAATGGGTTATTGTAACCAGTCGATATGAGGTTCCTAGGCCACATGATTATGTCATAGTGTCTGATGTAGATAAGAACCTCGGGACCCTAATATGTACCTGCGTGCCAAGTTTGGTTGCTCCACTCCTGATTGTTTAGCAGTCTGTGGAGAGATTTGGAGAACAGTAAAATTAACCAGCACAAACAGTCCAGAGGACATTAGAGGAGGAGCTTTTTTTTCTTTTTTTAAACCTGTTCCTCTGTATGTGGCGCCCCCCTCAGGTGGCTCTGGGAGACTTCCGTCACTCCCGTCAGGAGATCGAGGCGCTCTCCATTGTCAAGATGAAGGAGCTGTGCCGCATGTACGCCAAGAAGGACACCAACGAGAGGGAGGGCTGTGGCCCAGGACGTCTGCGACACTGTGGGCATCGGAGAGGAGAGGAGCCCTCCCGCTGAAGAGGGGGAGGAGGAGGAGGAAGTGGTGGTAGTGGAGGAGGAGAGACAGGGGAAGGTGGAGAAAAGGCAGGCGTGTACGACTTGAAGGCTCACATCGATAAGCTGACAGATATTTTGGAGGTGAGTTATGCTAATCTTGTTTTCTTCACGACCTGAGAGGCGCTAGAGGAGCAGAGCCAAATGTGTGCGACTCCTGCAGGAGGTGAAGCTGCAGAACAACATGAAGGACGAGGAGATCAAAGCTCTGAGAGACAGAATGATCAAGATGGAGAGCGTCATACCTCTTCAGGTATGTTCGCACCTCCTGTCCCGCCCCTTCAACCCATCACCACCAGAGTTAACCGTTGTTTGACTTGTTTCCAGGACGACGACTTGAACGGCGAGGGAGGCGAGTCCCCTCAGAGAGAGAGAGAGATGGAGATAGGGACGGGGATGATGAATGCCCTAGCCACCCAGAGGTCAGAGTTCAGCGGCTGATGGAGGAGGACCCGGCGTTCAGGAGAGGATGCCTCCGCTGGATGAAAAAGGAGCAGCAGCGCCTCCTGAACCTGCAGCAGCAGAACATCACCAAGAAGCTGCGAGGACAGAACCAAAGCCAAGGTGAGCTCGGGGGTGTGGCCATACCGTGATGGCGAGGGTTCCAATAGAAGTCACTGCAAACGATCGTCATCAATAAACCCTTCAAATGATTGTTTATCTGTACTTAGTCGAGTCGGTTGCTTATGCTGTGACCATCTTTAATTTACAGTCTGTGCTCTGTCCCTAACTTTACTCCTCCCCCAGCTCCAGGTCAGAACGCTTCATCCCTCCGCAGGAATGCAAGCTCAAGTTTCCCTTTAAGAGTAACCCTGCCCATCGGCTGTCATGGGGACCCACCAGTGCCGCTCTGCAAGCTCTCGGTCTGGGGGAGGGAGGAGGAGGTGATGGTGTTGAGCAGAAGGAGAATGGAGGAGGAGAAGCTAAAGGTTCTCCCTCACCTCCACCTCCCCCACAAGGTCAACTGCCTGGTCTCTTGCCCCTCCCCTTCCCAGCTCAGCCCCCTCGCATGCGCACCCCAAGTCCTCATCGCGCCTGGCAGCAGCGTAACCAGGGCAACCAGGGTGGCTATCACTACAACAACCAGGGCAACAACCAAAACCAGCAGCGTCGTTACCGCCGCAACTCCCTGGACAGCTCGCCACAGGGGAACGGGAGCTACGACAATGACCAGCACTTCAGCAGTGGTGGCAATGGTGGCCACCAGGGGTGACCAAGACAGAGGAGGGGATTTCGACCTGGGCCAGGTGGGGAGAGAGGAGGAGGAGGCAGAGGAGGAAGCAGAGACAGGGACAGAGACAGAGATGGAGGCTTCCATTATAATCAACGCCAGCACCATCAGTTCCACCACCACCATCCCTACTACAACCCCACAATGCACCATTCCAGCCTGGACCTCACCCTCACCCCCATTACCACAGCCTGCCGCGCTCAGGGGCTCCACCCCTTCCTGCTGACATGCTACTTGGCATTATGCCACCGCCGGGGGCGTGGAGCTTCAACACTCCGCCCAGGATGAGGCGGCAGTTCAGCGCACCGGACCTCAAAAACAACAACAAGGAGACGCCGATCTGACCTCTGACCTCCTGAATACGGAGACTCCTGATTGGCTGCGGACACAGGGCGATCCTGATGCTGTAGAGAATCGGCTGAGAGTGTGCGCGCGTGTGTGCAATTGAGCACTTTTACACACCCTGTATCCTCTGTCCTGCTGCGTGTGTTTGTGCTTGTGTGTGTGTGTGTGTGTGAAGCTTGAATTAGCAAAGGTGAGCTGTTAGCGACACTGGACGTGCAAAAAGTGATTTTGAATTGTTTTATTTTATTTTATCTGTTATGTTGTTCTGTCAGACTTTGATCACGTAGTAATTTAGCCTTTTTTATTTTTTAAATTTCACCGATGGCTGGTGTTCGGGTGTCGATCATCGTGTTAACAAGGTGCCTTAAAGCCAACGTGTCTGCTGGTGAAGCTAATTTTCTTTTTAAAGATCAAGTATGTTTGTTAGTAGGGTGGTGTTTCTGGGTTAGAAGAGTTTTTTTGTTTTTTTTTAGTGTTAGCAAGTGAAGAGTAGGTGAAATTGGTGAGCTTAGCCTAGCCTACGCTGCATTCAAGTTCCATGGGAATTACAGATTGTACAGCTTGTTTAACTCACTTCAACCCTCAAACTGATGATTAAGAGTTTAATCTGGAGCAGTTCCCAAATGGTGATTAATATTAAAATGAAGTTTATTTTTACTCGTTTATTTAATCATAAATACAATAGAGCCCACTGTGCTTGTATTTAGCATCTGCTGCAAACCAAAAAAAAAAGTATACAGTTCAACAACTTAAATATTGATTTAAATTTGAGAAAAAAATATGCAGAAACATATATATTACATGTGAGTACATTTTCTCAATATTTAATTCTTTGAAAAACACACTGATAATGTTGCCTTTTTTTCCTGTCATATTTACCACCTGTGATCTGTTTTTGATTGAAGCTTGAAACTTGTATTTACATCTTCTCCCATGTGATTTGAATGCAGCATCGCTGAGTGCTACAAACCAAAGAAAGCGGCTGTGTGGCGCCTCCTAGTCAGGGTAAAAGCATCAGTGCAGGAACAATAAGTGCCAATGTGGCTTTTGTAAAAACGCTAAAACACGCAGAGTTCCAAAAATGGAGAAGCAGGCGAGAAAGGCGAGTGCAGATGCCCCCCTGAGGAAGAGGAGGTGCAGAGAGGAAGAGGAGTAGGTGGTGCGCTTGTCTTATCTGTCAGATGTTTGTTTTTAAGAGCTGTGTGTGTATATTTGAAGTGTTAAATCTGATTTTAAACACATGAAACGTGCTGACGGTAAGTTCACCGTCTCTGGCAATCGTGGGAAATGCAAGTGATGCGTAACACATGATGATGCCCCAAGGTGGGAAATGTGGGAGCTTTGAGACAGAATCCTGAAGGGATGGATTAGTTTATGTAGGGCTGGATAAGGAAGGAATTCTGGGAGATGTATTGAGAAGCAGAAGGTTTTGAGGAAGAGAAGAAGAAGCTGATATACAGTAAGCTTTTTTTTTTTTTTTTTTGAAGAAGTAACAGACACTACAGCATGTCGGGTGTGATACAAGATTCGTGCTGTAAGGACGCGACACTTTTTACTTTATGTCCAATTCAAAAAGGATGGGAAAATTCACTGCTGCCTTCCTGGCACGTCAGGATCCTGGAAATTGTGGCCTCCACCTGTTTCAGGTTGCTTTTAATTTCTTCTCGTTTTTCAAACATGACATTTGCACACACATACTTTTGCTGGTGTTGTGTTCACTTCACATGTGTAAGACAGGAAACAAATTTCCAGCTTCCTGCGTCCCAGCGAACGCAGCACCCTATGTGCGTTTTATTCGCACTGAATTAATGAAGACAAGTTTACTGCCAGGAGGAGCTGGGAGAGTTGGCGATACTGCGCACACTCCACCCACTCAAAGCAGAGGATTGTGGGAGTTAACAAGTGGAGCAACTATGAGCTCTGTGACTTTTAAGGCTTTTTCATAAAAAGGTTAGATCCAACCAATGGCAGTGCTCCTTCCCGCTGCAGGAGGGAGTCAGCGCCATGACGATGACAATAATTGTGATGAAAACAAAAGAAGTGATTGCAATTGGCCTGAGAAGCATGATGTCAGCAGAATCTCTGGAATTGGTCAATCACAGGACAATCGCTAATCCTGCTGCCACTGCCGGGCCTGATGGGAAAATGTTTTTTTTATTTTTATTTTTAGATTTGTTTTTTTCATTTCCAGCTTGGGCCTCTGATTGGCTGTTTGTTTTTCCTTTGTGTATCACATCATGTACTGCGTATTTTAACCAACCTCCATGTTTGACCTTTGGTTTATGATGTCATCAGTCATCTTCACTTATTAATATAATTATCCTAAAGTTATACGTGTCATTAATATTTGGTTATTGTGGATGCTGCTAAAGGGAGTTTCTTTGCCCTCACACAAACCGTTGAGTTAGTGTGTGTGTGTGTGTGTGTTGAGCGTCTGTTGTGTGTGTTTGTGGGTTAATTTAGAATCAAACAGTAAAGTTTGTTTTACTTCATAAAGCTGATTTTAGTCATTATTCTTTTTCTTTGGTTAGTTTTGTTGTTTTTTGAGGTGGAATGGGGGAGGGACTTAGAGGGGGTGGGGTGTTGCCATGGCAGCCATGACTCGGCAGAATTCCAGAACATTGTAGAACTCCCCTCACTGACAGGCTGTGCCCATTCCCTGCACCTCTGCTCTAATCATGACCTCAGAATCTGTGACATTACGGCGCAGTGTCGCTTCAGAACTCGAAACACGGATATGGATATGATGACATCATAGTGTAGCCCTCTTCCTGTTGGCCCAGACCCCCTCAGTTGCTTTTTTGTTATTGTTGTTTTTTCTCTCTGTATGTGTTGGGTTGTCTTTTGTTGTTGTTTTGTTTGTATCAGGAACCAATCTCAGGCTCTACCTGCAGACAACATGATGGCAATAAACTGTCTCCAAGATTCAAAATAAGGCTCACTTCTTGTGTTTTTATTGGGTCTTCATCCACAAAGGATGGCTATGGAAGCTGAGAGGTGTCAGGGCACTCAAACATTGTCTTAAAACTGCATAATTTCTAGTGGCCAGCAGGGGGCATCTCCTGGTTGTTAAATGATTTCCATGACTAAAATGAGCCTGCTGTTTACTGGTCCAGATCCACTGCCTGTTTGAGAAAATAACTTTTCGTATTAGTTTGTGGTAGTAACGGAAAATTGTGAAGTAATAACCCAGAAGTCTAATTTAAAAACAATGTGTTTTTCCAGGGTGCAAACAAGTTTCCCCATATAAGAGTTGCTTTAAATGAGTCCTAGAATAGAAGAATAGAATAATGATAACTGAGATAGAATAGAAAGGACAAAACAGAAAGTATTTTCGTTGCAAAGATCACAAGCAAAAAGAGCTGTTCATTTATGCATTTTGTGTGTGTGTGTGTGTGCGCAAGGGCGTAGATTTGGTTTTGGCATTGGTGGGGACGGATGATTCAACCACTGAACCCTGCCCGGTTTCTTTTTTTTCCCCTTTTTGTCTTTGCTTCTTGATGAAAAAAAAAAAAGGGAGAAATATACTTGCTTACATATGTTATTCTACATGCTTTTAAACCATTTAAAATTACAATTCATAGTTTATATGTGAATTATATAATGTTAAATTACTATTAAACAAATGACGAAGTATTTTAGGCTTTAGTTTACTTCAGCCATATTCCATATAAATCAGGTATCATACAAAAATAAAAACCGCTTCAAATACAGTCATGAGAATAAAAGAATATGACTTTAAGGACTTAACAACATTACTTCAGTTATAGTACACCAACATCTCTGATACATTAGCACTAAGGGAACACTGAATGACCTGCTGGTTTTTTTCCATAAAACTACTCATCTAAGATCACCACAAAGTAAAAGATCTCTCAGCAAAACTATGCAACATTTTAGGCACTATAGCCCCGATCAAATCAGTGAGCTGGATTTTTTATTCTAAACATGAACTACTGTTACAGCAACAGACATGGACTACTGGTGCCCCACACAACAACTCAATGTCCACTATGTGAAGGAGCCAAACACATGCCTTCTCCTCTCGTTAGCTGAGATAAACTGCTGGCCAAGGGCGTAGATTTGGCATGGACGGAAGGCACATGTCCCCACCAATAATTTGATCTCTTCGAGTAAAGAAAAACAAAACCGATAGAAAGAAAAAAATCTATCTGTCAACGTCTCATTCGCCCAGCGGTGCAGAAAGAGTTAAATTACGTTCTCTACTGAAGTCCTACGTCATGTGACAAATATGGCCAATGTGATTGGCTGTGCCTATCAGGGAGCTCTGTTTAGTTGTAGCAGCGGCAAGCCTGCGCTGCGAGGAGGAGAGGAGGATGGCAGCACAAAGGAAGAACCTGGATATAACAAAGTATTTTTCAAAGAAACCTGTAACTCACTTAAAGCCAAGTTCACTCATAAAATGTGTCCGTCATAATAACGTTACAGGCTATGCTAGGCCGTACATGCCAACCCTCCCGATTTTTCCAGGAGAATCCCGAATTTCAGTGCCGCTCCCGAAAATCTCCCGGAGCCACCATTCTCCCCAATTTCCCCCGTTTTTCCACCCGGACAACAAAATTGAAAACCCATATCTCAGATTGGCGCAGCCAATTCCAGTTTCCAACAATAGCTGCTACTACTGCAGCTACTTAGTTTTAATATTACTCTCATTACTGTTTCTGGGTCGCAAATAGACGTTTAACATATTTTCAGGCGAGAATGTAGCTGTGTGAACTTCAAATATCTGAGCCGGTGTTCCAGATCTACTGGCGTTTAGATCAACTGGCGTTGGTCGAACAGATGTGTGGCAGTCTTGCGTTTCAGGAGCTGCTACCGACAAACCAGCAAAAAAACGCCAAATGTGTCACCTGTGACACGTGTGAGGTTGTCTCAAACACACTCAGTCAGTCTTGATGCTGTTGAACAACAAAATGTTTACAAATGTGGCGAGTTCACCTGGTGATATCCTCATGCGTGACGCGATCGCGAAAACAGCAAACAAGTAACACCACGCCGATGTTGTTCACAGGACAGCAAGAGTAAACGATCGGGAGACTCTTGTCGTCGTTATCGTTCCCCTCGCACGGTTTATTTCTCCGAATTCAGCGTTTTTGCTTCACAACTACAGCGTGCTGTTTACTTTGTGCACTAACATGGAGTCGAGTCAACCAGCGCCACCTCTGGCCAAGTGCCACAGCCTACAGCCAGATCAACCTGTGACACACATCTGCACCACGTTGAATTCGTGTCATGCACATTTGTACCTTTCAATTGTGTCTGTTTGTGCGTCATGCAAATAAACCTTTGAAATGAATGAAATGATATCATGTATTTATTATCAGCCTACATTTGTACAAAATGCCAAATGACATTTACCGTTGAAAAAATAAAAGAAATAAAACCCCATCGGCCCATAAAAACGAAAAATCACGAGCGGCCCATCGGGCCGGTATCGGGCATACCGGGAAAAAGCCCGGTATGCCAGTCCAGCTATGTAAGCAAGTATATTTCTCCCCCCCTTTTTTTTTTTTTATCAAGAAGCAAAGACAAAAAGGGAAAAAAAAAGAAACAAGGCAGGGTTCAGTGGTTGAATCATCCGTCCCCACCAATGCCAAAACCAAATCTACGCCCTTGCATCGGTGCAAATTATAAGTCCGTATCATAATGTCTGTTGTTTTCGTGTTTGTTGGTTTGTTTTAAGTTTTTTAATTTAGCGAGTTGGTTATTAGATGCCGCTTCAGCCAGCCAGTGAATCCTCCGCGCCCAGCCCTTGCGCACCTCGCAAACGGAGGGCGCCCTTACTCCCAGCAATTGGGCGATAGAAAACCGATCGGCGCCTGTGCCATTCCCAATATGCGCTGGCTTGACGTCGGGGCAGCATGAGTACCAGTAAAAAAAAAAAAAAAAAATCTTTTGCTGATGCCCGTGATGCCGCCCCCGTCCGCGTCGTCCGTATCAAAAACCGCTACTTCACTCACAACAGGATAACTTTAAATTAATGTTAACAATGTCATTACCATTACACTGTCAGCTTTAATAAGTATTTTAACAATGAATCAACATTTATTTGAAGACTGAGATTTAAATCTTGACCATAATGATAATCCTGTTAAAGAATCAACATTAATTTAATGTGATTTTGCGATCTGGGTTAGGATGTTTCAACACTTCTAAAGTGCAGTGATTTTGAAACACTGCTCAAAGTGTAGTTGAGACCGCCTTTATGACGGTTCTCAGATCAGTATCATTTTCACTGAATTTTTTATGAGCACGTTTATACAGTGAAAATTCCAGAAGACTCAGACATCTAGAAAAAACAGAGTCAGATCAGCAGAACTCGAGAACACAGACATGTCTCCTGTAACTGCGACACTCTGCGGGACTCTGCTGTGTTTCAGCGTCTTGTGTTTGTATCTGCAGGTGAGGTTTTATAATTTAAATTGTTATAAATTAAACGATATTTTCCTGTGAGATAAACAGTGTTCAGTAGAGTTATTTTCATACTGGTTCAGTTTGTCCGTGTGTGCAGAGACTGGGTGGAGTCATTAAGAGTCTAATGAGACTTTCTCTTGTATTTTCTGAATATTACATTCAGTTGTCAGAACGTGATTTTATTCTGTGCAGCTGGTTAAAGAACAGCAGCGTGTAGAAACACTTTTAATCGTCTCTTTATGGTGCTGCGCCCTTTTTTTTAATCAGCCTGCTGTCCCTTAGGACAAAGTCGGGGGATCAGAGCCAGTTGATATATCTGTTACCGTAATCTGTGATTTTCACCTTTATTTAAACCTCAAGTTAAACCATGAATTGAGTCGAGTTTAAATGGAAAAAAAAGAGGTTTCTATAGCTTAAGAGTCAGATCAGCAGCATCTCTGCTAACTGCGTCACTCTGCTCCACTTTGATGTTTGTCAGCATCTTCGTGTTTGCTGTAAGCTTTAATTGTAAGGCACAAATCTGTCTGTCTCTGAGATAAAGACGAATAAACAAAAGGTGGTTTACATGTTACTAACCAAAATATTATTATTAATATTATTATTAATTTCTTGTACATTGTTTCAGTGTGTGTAAACATGACGTGAGGCTTCTTTCTCTCACACATTATGTTCACTTATTATCAGCACATGTTTTTGTTGTATGGAAGCTAACATCTTGTAGTTTCTGACACTTTGCATGTTTATCATGAGGCTAAAATTCCCCCTCAGTCGGTCACAGGTAACTTGGTGGATGTTCAGAGGTTCATTAAATCCAACATGACTAAAAACTCAAATGTTAAAGGAAATAAACAAAATATTTAAACTAAATCATTCTGATCATAATTGTACTTTGTGTCACGGTACTGGGTCGTGCGACCCAGTGTTTGAGTTTTTATGTATCTTTTGTATTCATTTGTGTTCTAGTTTAGCTCATCTAGTTAATTTCTAGGTTGCAGTTTAGTCCTTTTTTTCTTAGTTGTTTCTGTCATCTCCCCTGTACTGTCTCCCTGGTCCATGCGTCTATGTCTGTGTGGTCCTTATTGTCAAGTTTGTGTCATGTCTATGTCTCCATGTTTCCTGTTTTATTTCGAAAGAGTCTGGTGTTCTTTGTTCATTGTATTTAGTTTCACTGCCCCTGTCCTGTCATTAGGTTCATGTGTGTCAGCTGTTCTTGCTCATGTGTTTCCACTTCCCCTGCTCATCCCTGTGGGTATTTAGTCTCTGTGTTTCATTCAGTCTGTGTTGCATCATCTGTTACCATTCCTGTCACTCTAGCTACACGTCATGATTTCAGATTCTTTTACTGGTCATGTTCATAATAATCAGATCCTTTCATGTTTTCATAGCTTTTCATGTCATGTTCATAGCTCATAGTTACAGTTATAGTCCGAGTCTTAGTTTGTCTTAGTCTTTAGTTGTTTCCCAGTTTAGGCTCTTTGTTTAGGTCATTGCCTTAGTTTATGTTTGGCTCACTTTGAGTTTAGTTAAAGTTTTGCCTCCTTCGTCTGTGTCCGCACCTGGGTACTTCAAACACCCTCCACACAGTCTGCCCCACTGACCGCGACACTTTGACCTTTAACCTTTAACCTCTCTGCTCTGTGTTGTTTCCTCTTTCAGACCTGAAATTGATCACAGCTGAATCTGGACAGGACGTCACTCTGACATGTCGAGCTCCAGACAACAACATCAATACTTTAGAATGGAGCAAACCTGACCTGGGAGATAAGAATGTCTATTTGTACCAGAATGGCCAATTCAAACCAGATCACCAGCATCCATCTGTTAGGAACCGGGCGGATCTGCAGAACAGACAGATGATGGATGGAGACGCGTCTTTGATTCTGAAGGATGTGACAATTGGTGACACTGGAACATACGAGTGTCGTGTCAACATGGAAGGAAAAAACCGCAAGGACGCTAAACCCGTCAGTGTCTTCTACCTCCATGTTGATCCTCCAGGTGAGTGAGTAGAGTTGAGTGTGTGTGTGATCAGAGGTGAAGCTGCTTCCTGGTTGTTGATGTTTGTTTCTAAAGATGTTGTTGATGAAAGTGGCAAAAGTAATACCATTATATAAATCAGGAGATAAGCATAGTTTTAACAATTATAGGCCAGTGTCTCTTTATCACAGTTTTCAAAATTGCTAGAAAAACTCTTTGCACAAAGACTTGATAGTTTTATTGAAAAATATCAACTAATACATGAAAACCAATTTGGATTTCGTAAAAATAGGTCAACGGCATTAGCGTTGTTGACTTTTATTGAAGATATTTCATCTGCAACACATAATAATAAATACACAGTGGGAGTATTTGTTGATTTAAAAAAAGCTTTTGATACGATACAACATTCTATTTTGATTTCTAAATTGTATAACCATGGAGTGAGAGGAGTAGCATTGAATTGGTTAATGAGTTATTTAGAGAATAGGTTGCAATATGTTTATTATTTTGGCAATACTTCTGAAAGACTGAAGATTGTATGTGGTGTTCCTCAAGGTTCTATTTTGGGACCTAAACTCTTTAATTTATATATTAATGATATTTGTGACGTATCTAAAAGGTTAAATTCGATTTTATTTGCAGATGACACAAATTTTTATTGCTCTGGAGAGAATTTGAAAGACTTGGTTGAAATTATGACTTCTGAGATGTTAAGAATAAAAAAATGGTTTGATGTAAATAAATTATCTTTGAATCTGACAAAAACGAAATATATGATATTTGGCAATCGTGTAAAGGAGGATAAAGTCATTATGTTTATAGAGGAAGAATTGATTGAAAGAGTTACTGAATTTCGTTTTTTGGGTGTAATAGTGGATGAGAATTTGACATGGAAATCTCATATTGAACATATTAGAAAGAAAATGGTCAAAAGTATTTATATTTTGGGTAGTATAAGAGATTTATTAAATTATAAAACAATGCGTATTTTATATTTTTCTTTGTTTTTTTTCATATATCAACTATTGTGTTGAAGTTTGGGGGAATACATATGAGAATACCATAAAACCTTTAAACCTATTACAGAAGAAAGTTATACGAATAATTCATAATGTTAAATATAGAGAACATACAAACAAATTATTTATAGAATCAAAATTATTAAAATTAGGAGATTTAGTGAAATTACGGACATTATTAATTATGTTTAAGGCTAAAAATAATATTTTGCCTTTTAAGTTACAAAGAGTATTTTTGATGTGTTCAAGGGGAGAAGAGATAGAAGGAAATTTTATTTAAACATCAGTTAGCCAGGACTACACAAAGATTAATGAGCACAACGGTTAGGGGTATAAGACTGTGGAATTTACTTCATTATAATTTAAAGAATTGTATAAATTTACAATGTTTTAAAAAGTGTTATATGTTTAAAACGATAACTCAGTATGAAGAATGCGAATGAATGTGATGTTGGTTTGGGATTCGACCGGAGAGAAATGTCAATATTAGTTTGTTCCTGATTTTTGGTGCCCACCGGTGATATAAGTTCGAAGGTAGATAGGGGGCAGGGTTTAATAAGAATATTTTCTTCTTCCTGCTCCTTTTCACACATGGTTGTTGTGTTTTGTTGACAGAAGATGTGGTTGTTTTGTTTGATTTGTAGTACCAAGTGTGAAATAAATAAAAATGAAATGAAATGAAATGAAATGAAATGAGACTTTGTAGAAAGCAGCTGGTCTGAGTGATGTGATCAGAGTGCAGTAGATAATGTCTGACAGCAGTTTGAAGACGAAATGGATTCTGTTCTGTTCTTCACTCATCACCTACCTGACAGCTGACACCTCACACCTGTTGTTGTTGTTGGATTTTTGGGTTTTGTTTTTTTTTTGCTTGTCCCGTTTGGATCTATAGCCATCAGAATTGTTGTCTGAAGGCCAAGAAAGATGCCAAGCGGATTTACTTTGCCAAGTGGATCATCATGGCCTTGCCATATTGGTCCATTTGATTGACCTTTATTATAATTATGTATTTATTTTATTTTATTTTCGGTTGTTACAGACGGGACAGACATGACTGGGGGATAGAACAGGGAGAAAGAATGAAAGAAAGAGAGGGAGAGAAAGAAAAAGAAACCCCCAAACACTTAGATCACCTGTATGGGGATAAGAAAAAAAAGAAGAGAAAAGAGCAAGATAATAAATACAACACCATCACAATATACTACCTAACAGTAGATAACAGTAGATACTAAATATTACATGTTATTATGCAGTACACAATAGACAGAGGTCGACAGCGCACAATGTGCTTTGAGGTAGCAGCCAAAAAAGGTGTAGCTTGTGTCTGTGAACACCCGTGTGCACACCTGTGTGGATCAGCACGCTTGTATTCAAAAGGTTCTCCATGTCCATGACTGGCTCTTATATAGTGCTTTTCTACTCTGTCTGAGCACTCAAAGCACTTTATACATCTAATTCATTCACCCAATCACACAAGCACTTTTTTCTGAGTTTTTAAGTGCTAAGTAGTCTACCATCCATACACATTCACACTCCAATGGATGCATCGGAGAGCAACATGGGGTTAGTATCTTGGCATGCAGACTAGAGCAGCCTGGGATTGAACCACTGACCCTCTGGTTAGTGGCTCTGCCACCTGAGCTACAGCCACCCCGATCTGCTAGGGAGTGTGGAGAGCCATAGCCCCGTCCCCTGAGGGCATGAAGCACTTATGGAGGAGATCCAGGCCATGGACATCCAGAGACCCCAGAATACGAGGACCCAAGGAGGACCACCAGGGTGGCAACCGTGCCACCCTCCTGGGAAGAGCTGCGGAGAGCCCCAAACGAGACGTCACCCAGCATGCAAAGGAGAGGAGGCGAGAGGGGGTTGCAGTGACGTGTCCGCGGGCTCTGCCAGCAGCCAGCTCTACCAGAGGACCGGGCCTCAGGCCCAGAGGCCTGAGGGCACCCACCCCCCTGAAGGGCTCAGACGGGCCACAGGCGCCAGGGACAGCCAATCGGTCACCTGGAGTGAGTCGGTACATACATGAGTGCCCAGCCCCAGACACCAAGAACCACCAACACACCAACGTCTGAGGGCATCAGCCACTGGCAGGGAGTGTGGTGAGGGAAGATAGGCCTCCATACCTCGGAGAGCCTGAGATGTTCCCAGTGAAGTCTAAGACCCAAGCTGACATAGACGAACAGGTGCACGGAGACACAAACATGCATTCCCACCCGAATATACAAAACCAAATACTCGGCACTCACCCAATGGAGACAGACACAAATAGACACTTTACACACATTCACACTCCGCAAACATACCCTATATCCCAGGTCCGGGTACAGTTTGCCGCCAGACCCAGGAGATGTAACCCTTCTGTCTGGGGTGGAGGAAAGCAGACCGCCTCCTTATCGGCAGTAGCAGGGAGGCCCCGCATCCCAGACCCCAATCTGACGGCCAGCACCTCCTCCCAGCCCCAACGGTGAACAAAACGGGGGTGAGTGAAGACCCCAAACCTTCCTCCGCCCGTTCATATGTAGTGTTGCTGCGTGCTGTTCTAAAGTGCATTTAAAACACAGGAGGGCATGGTGCTTCTTGCCAGAGAGCAGCACGGCTCCTCCATCAGTGTCTATATGCATTTAAAATTGAGGGTAGGGCACCAGCACCAGAGGTGGGTTTGAATACACAGACCATCCTCTGGACACTGTGTAACGTACCCATGCCCCAAGGCCCTATTTGTATGTGTTATGAGAGTATGAGTAATGTGGATGTCTAGGTTACGGAATAAAATTGAGGCACAGGCAGCCAGAAGGGGACAGAGGGGGAGTGCCTCCCCTGCACCCTGGTGACACACCTGCACCCCAAGCCCTGCGTATGTGTGGGTGTGGTGGAGCAGGAAGAGGGACTCAGCTGACCCCAGTAGGCATCCCCACACTCTGGAACCCACCAGGGCAAGGGCCAAGACTGTTATTTTTAAAAACTCCCACCATGCTGTTAGAGAAGAGCTGATGTTGATGCTTTTAAAGCATTCATGTCGTTTGATGTTTGAGCTGATAAATGTTAGGTCTGAAATTTCTAGATTATTACATAGTGCCTGTTCTACAGGCTGGGCTATTTATATGGAAACACCGTAATGGCTACCATGGTCACCACCCATCTTGAGGAGTTTGCCCCCTTACATATACTAATGTGCCACAAACAGGACTTTAATATCACCAACCATTCCCATGTTATTACGGTGTATCCATATAAATGGCCCACCGTGTACATCTATCCGGGGTTCATCTAAGTAGGTGTGTTTTAACCATCTAGAGATGAACTGAAGCCTGTTGGCTAAAAAGTAGTGATTAAAGTTAGTCCGATCTAGTCCTCCTTTATCCTTGGTCCTTTTGGTTTTTAAGCTGATATGCGGGGGTTTATCTTTCCAAAGGAATTTAGAAATATACGAGTCTAGAGATCTGAACCAATCTTGTGATGGCTTACTTGGGATCATTGAAAATAATTTTTTTTCATGCCTTTTTCTCATCAGGAGCACACAAAGACAATAAACCTGTTAAAATTGACCCTCCACGTGTTGTTCCTCCAGGTGAGTGAGTAGAGTTGAGTGTGTGATCAGAGGTGAAGCTGCTTCCTGGTTGTTGATGTTTGTTTCTAAAGATGTTGTTGATGAGACTTTGTAGAAAGCAGCTGGTCTGAGTGATGTGATCAGAGTGCAGTAGATAATGTCTGACAGCAGTTTGAAGAGGAAATGGATTCTGTTCTGTTCTTCACTCATCACCTACCTGACACCTCACACCTGTTTCTCACCTGCAGCTCAGAAAGGAGGATCTGGTGGACTGAAAGCTGGTCTGGTAGTTCCTGCTGTGCTTCTTGTTGCTGCTACTGTTGTTGGTTTTTGAAAAGAAACACCAACAACAGCAGCAACAAGAAGAAAACAGTCTCAAGGTTCAAATGAGCGTTCTGCTGAACAACAGAGCGGACAACCTCTTCAGACTTAAGATCATCAACCAATAAACATCATAGACGTCAAACACTCAGAGTTTGGATTTCTTTCTCATTTCTCTGATGATCATCATGTTCAGACTCAGACCAACAGTGTGTGTCTGTGCTGTCTGTCAGTGAACCTGAACTACAGTTTATTCATCTTCATGTTGTTCATGAGATTTACTGACACAAAGTCAAACTGTGTTACAAACATAAATGAATTTATATGATATTATCTCAGAATATATGCACGTTTTGTTTTTTAGCTTCATGTTCAGCGGCTGGTTGTAAGAAAAACTAAAGATCAGCTGTTACAGTATAATTGTTGTTCTGTGAATTATAGACTATTAATAATCTGGCTCATTGTTCAGCTACAACCACTTTGGTTGACATTACTTATTATTCTCTTTTTGTATAAAATGTTGAATTTTACAGCTTACGGAGCAAAATTGTGTAAAAGTAAAAATTTGTGTAGTTACAGACTCATATTTCTTCTCTGATCCTGAACCTTTCTAACCCCTTTCATTTAACATTTCCTCCAGTGAATCTTTGTAAATCCAAATTTCTTCATCTATGTTAATAAAGATTTACATTTATACCTGCTCAAGGTTTTCCAGTGTTTCTGTCATTTGAAGGTTTTGATTTAATTTCTGTTTATTATTTTGTTACAAACTTATCATCAATTAGAAACTTCTAAATATGTAATCAGTTTATACCTCTTTTTATATTTTCAGTTTGTTTCTCTCATCAGTGTCATGTGGAAAACTAAACTATTTCTAGGTCATCGTATTCGTCTATGTGTTTATACAGCTCTCTGCATTTAAAATCATTAGCTATTGTTAATCTCTGGCTTTCTTCAACAGCATGTCTTTTGTTCTTTTTGTTTTTCCTTCTTTGGCCAGTTGGGATGAGAGAAGGCCCTCCCTCACCCTACATACATACATACATACATACATACGTGTGTGTGTGTGTGTGTGTGTGTGTATGTATGTATATGTATATGTATATATTAGGGGTGCAACAATATTCGTATCGATATTGAACCGTTCGATACAGTGCTTTCGGTTCGGTACGCATATGTATCGAACATTACAAAATTTTTAATTGATTTTATCAACTTTTCTTCTGACGATGCTATCTCGTGTGTGTGTGTGTGTGTGTGTGTGTGTGTGGGGGGGGGGGCTAGCGAGACAGAAGCTAAGCTCGTTGCAACATGGCAACTGCCTCAACGTGACACGAAATTTAACCTCCCCCACCCTCATTCAGATCTGGCGTTTGGAACTATCTTGGTTTTCATGTGAAGCATGACCCTGATATTAAGCGCATCATGGACAAAAGTAAAACAGTATGTCGGATGTGCCACGCAATGCTCAATTTGTGGGAACTAGTGCGTTAGCGCAGTTAGCTTGTTAACGTGTTGATGCCGTCCAGCCCCACGCACGGGGCGATCCGCGGTAACTTGTTAAGGGAGATTTACCGCATTATGGCGTTAACGTAATTTTAACGAGATTAATGCTGAGAGCACTAGTGGGAACACAACGATTATGACTGCACATTTACGCCGACATCATCCTAGTGCAAAGACAAGTGGAAGCAGACAAAAACAACAAGCTTGCTGCAAACTTTACCCGAGTCATTTAGACAGCTGTTAGCACATGATTCTCCTTACCCGAGTCAGCCCAGAAGAAGCGTATAGTATAGCTTTTATTTTGGAAAGAGACATTTCTCTGTAATAAACTCTCTTTTCCAAAGATGAGTGATTTCTCGATCAGATAGATTTTTTTTTTTTTTTAATTATTTTATTGTTTCAGCAACATTAAATTTAAAAACTGTACTTTTGAGTTAAAATACTGTATATATTTATAATCTTAATAAATGACAAATTAAGAAGGCACGAACATTTTTTTGCATCGAAAAAATATCGAACCGTGACACCAAACTATCGAACCGAACCGAACGGTGAATTTTGTGTATTGTTGCACCCGTAGTACATATATATATTAGGGCTGTCAAAGTTAACGCAATAATGCGTTAATGCAACAAAAATATTTTAACGCAGAATTAACGCACTCACACACACCGGCCTGTGACCTTAGGCCCGCACCGTTTTTTCAGAAAATAGGAAGCAACGCGGCAGTTATAGATGTGAGCAGAAATGGATAAAAAAAGGTTCTTTTGAACGGCAAGTTTTAAGTTCCAAGCAATGCCAGATGGTTCTCTTGACAAGGCCAAAGTAATTTGTATTTACTGTCAATGTGAACTGAGTTATCACTGTAGTACGTCCAGTCTCAAATACCACTTGCTAGCCAAGCACACAGCTAACGCAGAGAGCCGTCATCCCTCTCGCTAAAGGGAGTTCACGCTGGATAGTTTTCAAAGGAGACTGTCACTACCCGATCCGTACCGGAAACTCGATAGGTACCCCGCATGTGCAAATCTTACGTCACTTCCTCTCTTTGCCAACATTGCGACATTCAATATATTTGAATGATACGGTTAGCGCCCAGTTAGCTCCTAGCATTTCTCAACAGCTCTGCCTCCTTTTCGACTGCCCGGGACATTTAAACAATGGATAATCCGTATACAAACAAATTCATGCTTTTCTCCTCAACAGAGAGCGTCCCCCGATTGAACAAAAGCTCCGTAAAATAATAAGAATGGCGCCTAATTACAGACTTAATAATATTGACTTAGCAATGTGTCAAGTGAAGATTCATCAGCCAGATTAAGTGTTTACTGACAATTGACAGTGATAGTGGACATCATCATCACTATTCCAATCAATCCTCTCCACACAGACAAGCATAAAGACACTCGACTACCACTAAATCAAAATTAACACACGTTTGTAATGATGCTAATTCAGTTTACAATACGGTTCGTTCGCTCGGTCAGCAGGGGGCGGTATCCTCGTACACTGGGGAGTAAACTGCCATTAAACGAACAGAAGAAGAAGAAAACCCCTGCACATGCGCGGTACGGATCGGGTAGACCCGATTTGTACGGTCTGACTTTGCACATGCTCAGTAAGGATCGGGGAGTCCTGATCCGTAACTATCTTTTTATTATTTTTATTTTTCTCTACATTATATTAAATGTTTCATTATCGGAAACGTTTTAAGAGACACTTATTATTCTTAACATCTTAACAGATACTCTGACCCGTAACTATCGTAAAACGCTTCGACCGGAAGTAGACACCGTTCGCGCATGTGGGGTACCGATCGGGTTTCCGGTACGGATCGGGTAGTGACAGAGACGTCTGGACAATTCTACAACCAACAAACTTTCAACAGCCATAGCAAAATGGGTGGCTGCAACTTGCATGGCAATTAACATTGTGGAGGATGAGGGGCTACTTGAAATAATTCGCATAGCATCCAATAACTGCACATATGAATTGCCTTCGAGAGTCACCACTGTAACCAACATACACAACTTGTATGAATATGAGAAATCCAAAGTCGAGGCTTTGGAGCAGACCAACACAGTTGCACTCACCGGAGACTATTGGACTTCTCTAAGTAATCAGTTACCTTGGGGTAACAGCATGTAACGTCGGGTTGCGTTTAGTGGTTGAGAGGAGGCGGCAAAACACTTAGCAGGCTAGTCAAAAGAATACACACTCACGCTGGCATCGGAAATTCCACAGTGTGTTCTTTAATACACGTTCTCTTTGTCAACCATATAAGCCCGGTTGAACGACTGCAGCTTAACAAACATAGCGCAGAGTGTTTGTACAACCCATAACGTTGCAAAAGAAAGGTGTCTGGGGAGGTAAAACATAAAATCCGTCCCTCCTCATGCTCTAGCGTGCAAGCACATGTCCACACAATCAGAATTAGAATTAGAATTCAACTTTATTGTCATTGCACATGCACAGGTACAGGGCAACGAAATGCAGTTTGCATCCATCCAGAAGTGCTTAGCAGAGAGAGGGCAGTGGCGCATACTGATGACAACATTAACCCTCGATTTGAGTTGTCTTAAAGAGACACCACACCATTGTGACTGTTACAAGCGCATTATTTTTCACCAGAGTGGGAACTTCAGTCGCATGCTTTGACAGTTATGAAGACGGAGGAGAGGCAGATCGCTGACATGTGCGCCGAGCACTTTATGCAGGTAAGACAGTGGGGAATTGAACATAAAGTCAGCACGCTGACCACTGACAGTGCACGCAACATGGTTGCAGCAGCCAGGCAGCTGCCATTTTAGCACATGCCTTGCAGCCTCCATACAGCCTCCATCGAGCCATCACTGTTTCTGTACAGAACAGTCCATTTAACAGCGCATTGGCAAAATGCAGAAAGGTCATAGGCCATTTCAAGCATAGCTCACCAAACGCACTGGAGCGCGAACAACAGCAAATTGCACATTTTCATAGGAAAGAGTCACTTATGCAGGACGTATCAACAAGATGGAACAGTACCCTGGATTTCAACCTTATGTGAGTGAATGTAACAAATTCTTAATAAAGTGTATTTCTCTGAGGGGAGAAGTTTGTTTCCTGCTCAGTGGTGCTGCCAGCTTTGTGTCACCAGTCGCGAGTGATGGAGGTCTCCGAGGATGACCCAGCTTACATGGTTAAGTTCAAGGAGACCTTGAAAGCAGAAATGGAGAAGCAAAAGGAAAAAACTAAAATCGTGTGGCTCAGGGTTGCAACAGCACTGGATCCTAGGTTTAAGGATCTTAAGTGTCTGAGCAGACCTGACAGGGCTGAGGTGTGGCGCTTGATCAGTGCGTTGCTGAGGGAGAGGGAGAGGCCTTCACAGCCTGAACAACTAGCAACATATGAGCCATCTAAGAAAAGATCAGCTCTCATGCTTGCCTCAGACTCGTCATCTGATGAAGAGGAGGACTGTAATGAGAAATGTGTGGAGCGATACAGGGCAGAGCCGACTATTGACATTGAGGACTGTCCCCAGAAATGGTGGTCCAAGCAATAAGAGGCACAAACTGAGATGGCCTACCTTGCATGCAAGTACTTGGCAGCACCTGACACATCCATACCATGTGAGAGGTTATTTTCACTTTCTGGGCATGTTGTTCAGAAGGAGCGAGCTGCCCTGTAATCTGAAAATGTCAAAATGCTTGTCTGTTTGAGCAACTGGTTCAGTGCAAAGAAACAAAAGTAATAGGGACAACCCATGCTCTGTATGTTTTTAGTTCTTTTTTTCCCCCTTTCTCCTTTGTGGTGTTTCCATGTTCATGTTTTGTTAAGAAAACAGACAAAGGAAGGAGGTTGCGTTGCTCAGCCTCTGCTAAATACAACTGGAGAGCAACAAGAAGTACAGTGGGGCAAAAAAGTATTTAGTCAGCCACCGATTGTGCAAGTGCCCACACCTAAAATGATGACAGAGGTCAGTAATTTGCACCAGAGGTACACGTCAAATGTGAGAGACAGAATGTGAAAAAAAAATCCATGAATTCACATGGTAGGATTTATAAAGAATACTTTGTAACATAACCTTTGTTGGCAATAACAGAGGTCAAACGTTTACTACAGGTCTTTACCAGGTTTGCACACACAGTAGCTGGTATTTTGGCCCATTCCTCCATGCAGATCTTCTCGAGAGCAGTGATGTTTTGGGGCTGTCGCC